CACACTATATAATGAAAATAGTTATTTGTTTCACTAGGCAGGAGAGTAAATGAATGGCTGAATTTCTATCAGCCGCGAGAGTCAGCTATACATTAACTGCGGTGTGGAACACATCATTTCTTCTCCAAATGTCATAAAACCAATTTTTTGTAATATTTTTATTGAAAACTCCATCATTTTGTGTCAATCCAAAGTTTCTTGGAACGTTGCTCAACAACAAACTTTTTCTGTCTAGGCAGAGAAAGTACACTTTTCCTGCCTGTTAAGTGTCAGAGAAAAGCCACTTTCCCGTCGCTTGGAAAAAAATAATTTTTTTTTGGAAACAAAGCATTTTCGGATCCACATGAGATTTACACTGGTTCATCGGATATTATCTTTCGAGAGGGGCGAAATATTCTCGGAAATAATGACGCTCTCCCACTAATTTAGCTCAGTTTAAATCGCGGCACGAATCGGATGTACATTATAAACCTTTTTTTATATTTTGTTGAGAGGATGCTTCCCTAGACTTTTGTCGCCACATCTCTGAAACACCCTGTGTACATAAAAGGGAGTAAACTCAGTTTTTGAGATTGGTATTTTGATCAATTTCTTGAAAATCGACACCAATTTAGTTTTTTTCAAGCATCATTGCTTCATAATCCCAAATTTTGAGGTAGCAATTTTTGTAAAGCAAACCTTAATAGCACGACTGCTATTAATGCATGATAGCAGTCCAAAATGGCATAGCTTCATTGGGCAACCTATATCATGATTATGGTGAATATCATTCCATGGGAGAGGAACTTTTTTTCTGTAAATAAACATCTGAAACTGCTACGCCAATGGAAAGAAAGAGGTTTGACTCAAGGTTGGTAGAACTGATGATTATTTCGTAATTATAATCAGTTTTAGCAACCTTGGTTTGACTATGAAATTTGGATTGAGTAACTTGTTCACTACAAAAGGAGGTACTCCCAATTAAATTCGATTACTCTCATGGTTTCGACAAAATTTGTAATTTAGTAATTCAAATCATCAGTCAACGCTAAAAGGATCAACAGATGTTTAACAAAAATTGCTCAAAATATTCAGCAAATACCTCCATATATACAGGGTGAGTCATGACTAACCAGCCATAGCCTAATGGTAGATAGAGGAAGTCAAGGTGAAATGATATATATGCGAAGAAATATATTTTGCTTATTCGTAACAGAAATACAGGGCATTATTTGAATTCGGGGCGAAACTTTGATGAACGATATTTCAGGAACGTCTCGATGTATCGCCTGCAATGGGGAAGACCACTGATTTTTTGAAACGACATTATCGTGAACTCTATACTGAAAAACTACCAGTGAATTAATTTCGAATTTTTTCATTCATGCTAAGACGATGAAACAAATAAATTAGTATGTATCCATTTCAAAACACACAATTCCTGCGCCATTTGAAATTTCATCAATTCATTGGTGTGACTGGTGCGACGTCTTATTCCCAACACGCCTATCGTCCTTGAACTGACCAATCACACTGCAACACTGCAGAATGACGAGGTATCAGAGAGAGATAGCTACAGTTCGGGACTAATACGTCACGACTCCACTATCATATTTGGCTGTTTGAAATATCGAATGAAATATGCTGATTTCAAAACGATATGAATTCGATTCCCTTCAGTTTCAATTCATAATATTGATTGTACATAAAATGTGAATCATGATTCGTCGATTGAAAGAGGTTTGCACGGATTTCTTTCCTCAGTGGTCTTCCCCATTCACCAGCAACTTACCTCTACTGACACACCACACGATGGCATACCATGGAAAAAAATTCCAGAGCCGGAATCGGAAAACTCATTTTCTTTTCAAATGTCAAAATTTCGACTTTCTGAGGAATCGTATTTTTCAAAAACTCTAATAAGAATCAGGAAGATCTGGATATTTTTTCACCAATTCGGTCGAAGTGTGTCTCACAAATTGAAAAGCTGCACTTGGAGTGTTTCTCCTGATCTTTCTGATTCTGATGAAAGTTTTAGAAAAATACGAATCAAAAAGTCGAAATCTTGACATTAAAAAAAAATGAGTTTTCCAAGTCCGGCTCTGGAATTTGTCTATCCTAGAAGGCCATCGTGTGGTGTGTCAGTAGAGGTATATTGCTGGTGAATTTCAGGCGAAAACATCAGGACGTTCCTGAAATATCGTTCATCAAAGTTTCGCCCCAAATTCAAATAATGCCCTGTATTTTTGTTAGAAATAAGCAGAATATACTTTCTCATATATATATCAACTCACCTTGTCTTCCTCTATCCGCCATTACGCTATGGCTGGTTAGTCATGACTCACCCTGTATACAGTAAATTGAAATATATTTTTCTTCGTCTACACCGATTCGTCACAAACACAACAACAGAAAAAGCAGCAAAGCACAGAAACTGAAATTGAAAGAAACATATCAGAGAACATCGAATGACATCGATTCACGAGTGATGAATCAAATTTCTTTATTTTCTAATCTTTTCCACTTTTTTTTCATATTCCCTAATCATCTTATTATCAAATATTGACTTAAAAATAGAGGACATTCAATTCCCAAAAAGAGTACAACATGTACTATAAAAAGTGTACGTCTCTGCCGCAGTGGCGGATCTAGGCAGTTTTTCAGGGGGGGGCCATGGGCCGTGAGTTAATGGAATTTTGAAACCAAAGTAATTGAAACCACATGAATAATGAATGATATGTATATGAATATATATATATATATATATTTATAGCACAAAGCCCATGGTTTTAACTTCATCACTTTCGTTTAGGGTGGAACTTTGCACAGGGAATGGTTTTGGTATGAAAATGTTCAGGGACAGCAGAGTAGAAAAAACATCTGAAAAGACCAAAGTAATGTGTTTCAAATCTCCAGAAAAGAGATGCGGGTAGAGGATGGATATTACTTTTATTTGCCGTGGCGCTCCGTGGCCACTCACTGATTTTTGGTGGAGTATTCACTTTTCAGCTGCAGGAAAATCCGGAAAAAACCTACAGCACCACCTCGGGTGGTCGGAGCTCACTCCAGGATAACATAAATGTGATGGATAAAAATGTGACTAAACAAACAAAAACTTGCTTTGAATACTTTGAATTGGTTGTTCAATTTTCCGCTTTATTGTACTGGCAAAAAGTATGAATTAATCTTCCTTCTATCCATCTGAAAAATTAAAGAGCTCAGCTAAGTTCTCCAGATCGAATGGGTAGGAGATTGAAATTTTTTTTTTACAATGACACCATGATCATTAAAATACATTTTTTAGTTGGAATAAACTCAGGAATATAGACATTAAATGATTCTCGAAAATGTATTGAAGATTTATCTGCAGCTCTAAATAGTTTTGTTCATCCAAGTGAGTAAAATTTTATACACTGATCATCGGTTTTCAAAAATATATAAAAATCAATCTCGTTAATAATCTCACTGTTGCGTATGTACCAATGTACCTACTTACCATTTAATTTTTAGTATAATTTCAATTTCACTTATCACTTACTTCTTCTGTCTTTTTAAATGAAAAAATCTGTGAACTGAATCTTACTGTTCTGAAGAACTAATGTGAAATGACCCTTTTGACCCTTTTCTTTCAAAACCAATTGGTGTTTTTTGCGGTTTCGGATAAAAAACAACTACTTATTTCAGTTATTCCCTTTGTTTTTGATTCTTGCCGCTCACCGCCACCGGTCACCGCTTACCGCTAATTTGCATTTTACTGAAGCCCCGGCCTTGAAAATAATTATTTTTCCTCAATCGTTATCTGTTTTGCCGCCCTTTGATCTGACCGCCTGTGTCGTTTTCCCATATTCCCACTGCATACAAGAATATTTCTATATAATATTTGTATATGATAATGAATGAAATTCAAAAAAGAGTTGATTTGGCATGTTCGAGTGTTTGAGGAACCATTCAATACGAAAACTACGAATACGAATAATTTTGGTTTGTGTAACGTAGCTTTTGTTGCATATCCAGACTGATTGTTGAACCAATATCAACTACTTATTCAGAGCTCTGGGAGGGGCCATGGCCCCCATGGCCCCCCCCTCAGATCCGCCAGTGGTCTCTGGTCACCCTAGGTCTGGAAGCCCCCAGGATGTTGAGGCAGCTTGAAGCAGAAAACAAGACATAAAATTCGCTTGCCCAGCGATTATAAAATATTCCCCAAAAATACTCTTGGAGTCTTGGACAATTGAAAAAACGGACGCTAAATAATTGCTTTGAAAAACAAAATTGAAATATTTTTTCAGTGTTGTGATTTTTTCTCTGGATATAAATAATAAAATTTGCATGTACATTTTTGTTTCATTGATTTGAAAATTCAGGCACATATTTGCGTGAAGCGAAGGCAAGCCTTATCCCGGCCAGCGCCCCCTTTTCTCTCCCCCCAGAGGTAAGTCCAAGTTACGCCAATGTGAACATTCGTGATCTCTTCAGCAGTCAACAATTCAAGATTGGTAGAACTACAAAATAGTTATCAATTCTACCAACCTAGCAACAATTCAACTATTACGCCATCTAGCGGTATTTATGATAAGGGTCTCCATTGATTGGTGGATACACTAAACTCTCATAATACGCTAATAAAATATTTTTTGTGCATTGCTATCTCAACACAATGAACTCTATATAAACACCTATATTGAGTTCATTGTCTCTACAAGAAACTATTGCTCACATTCCACTGCTGTCGACATCTATCCAGCCATTGACATACTATGCTGCTTCAGTAGATCGGCAAACGCGCTCTACAGTTGCCAAGCATTTCCGTAGTGGGAGCTTACAGAGTGTGCAGAAATCTAGAATCTACAGTTTCAATTATTGATTTTCTACTCGAGACGATAGATGGAACAAGCTGTGTCAGACTTCAAGGTTGGTAGAACTGATGATTATTTTGTAGAGTTTTGTATATCAATGTTTGTATCACTGTCTGCAAACTGTTATTGTTTATTGTCATCTGTCAATTAGTCATGGTAAATGGTAAATAAGCTATGGCTTTTGTTTTTGAGTTGTATGTTGAAATGCTGAATTAATAATAAAATACGAAATATAAGAATAGTTGCATCTAGCCGGAAAAGTCTTCATTCGATAATGCATTCATAATTCATCATAGATACCAGATTTCACACAGGTAATATTTTCTAACCTCAAAATCAGCTAAGGAGACAAAAATTACATGAAAATAATCACATAACACGATTTTTTCAGCACTATGGCATTTATGACCTTAGCACATTTTCTTCAAATCCTAGACAGGAGTTGGAGGAACCAAGATGGCAACAAAATAGCACAATTCATGTCTCTTCGCCATGATCATGCCAAATATCCAAACTATCAAGTAGAACAGCCTGAAGGTTTAGTAGACCGCTTTCTGACGTCTCCATTAGATGAATTAGTATGTCTACACTTGAAGTGTTTGTATAGTATTAGTAGAGATGACTTTTTGATGGCTTATAATCTTCAGAGCCAGCTCATACAATCATTCACAAAAATCCTGCAGGCACAGAAAGATGAGAACTGGGCATTGCCTATTATGTTCACAGTGTGCTCAGATCTGAGGCTCATAGCTCAAAGAGCAGAGAAGCAGAGAGTGGGGGCCTCAGAAAACCCAGGAGAAATTCTAGAGAAGGCAGCAGAGTGTCTGATGGGCTGTTTTCGAGTTTGTGCTGCTGATAATAGATCAGCTGAGGAGGATACCAAGAGGATAGGAATGTTGGGTCTGGTCAACCAGCTTTTCAAGGTGTATTTTAGGATAAACAAGTTACATTTGTGTAAACCCTTAATTAGGGCTATTGAATCTTCACCATTCAAGGAGAGCTTTCCTTTGGGACAGCAAGTGACATACAGGTGAGTTTTTTGGTGGGATATTAGTGAGAATATTGGGGGCATGATAGATAGATAGATAGATAGAATTTATTTAACCACATTACACAAAAAAATTCTATGTTTGTAGCAGGTCAGATACAAGATACAAGTAGTGTTATATTGTTAAGCTCACATATCAAAAATAAAAAGAACATGGCAGTTAACAAATTACAAGTTTAAAAATCTAAAATCACAATATTAAAATGTTCCATAAGAGAAAAAAAGTCAATACACAAGTAATGAACACACTAAATGAAAGACAACAAACAAACCAAATTTGGACAGCTATGTTTATTCATACAATAATGTTGGTGTGCCTACTCCTGGCATTGAATTTTTCATCATGATGACTTCTTAAAAATCATTCATCTGTGAAGTCATGTTCATTAGGTAAAATATTCTTGATTTGAAAATGTGGATTGGCAAAAAGGTCCCATTGGGGACTAGTTGCTGACGTGGAAACGTCCCCCACCAGTACCAGTACCAGTAGTACTACCTATTAGCATTCATGCTAAGAATCATTGAAAAGCATAATGAATAATAGTTATTTTTTAATGTCACCTACAATAATAATTATTAATCTTAGTTAATGAAAATAGTAAAAACAATTATTCATAAAATTGAAAAAAAAACAAGTTGAACAGGCACAAAATGTTGACAGTTTTGATAAAAATATCCCAATAAATAAAATGAATCCAACCAAATAAATAAAATGAATTCTCCATATAGCATTAAGATTGACTTTACACATTTTTGTTGTATTTCTATTGCAAACTACTGTCTTGATCACTTCCTTATTTATTTTTGGTAGGTAACTATTCTTTCATGAAATTTATTTCCACCCAAATTACTCTGTACTTCAGTGTTCCCAGGAATTCCATGATTATGATGGCAATAGTTGGCATTGAAGAGGAAATGCAGAAATAGGCTGCATTTTGTTGGAATTATTAGGCAATAAATGGCAATAGATATAAAATATTCTGCAATATCTGCTATCAGTAGTTGAGTTTGGGCTATTTTAGCTACTCTTTGCCAATTCCAACAAACACACAGAGATAAATAAGTATCATTGTGTTGGAGAACATTGAATTTGGGATTGGTATGATTAACAAAACAAAGAGTCAAATTACAGTGCCAGAAATGGCCTACCTTGATTTTTGTTCTTTCCCAAGTATTTCTGGGAGGATCTCACACACTAAATATTTATTGAGAGGGGTTTTGGGTTTGATTGAGTAGGTATTTTGCCGGGTTTTATATTTTTACGCGACACACCGGTACCTTGTCCGAGCGTGGAGAGGAACTACTCTTTTTCGGCCGAAACTGGCACACGTTCGGCCAGAGTGCGCAGAATTTGACTCTATTTCGCGGAATATTCGAGAAATGAGATACAAGGAAATTAATATTCTCAATAAACAATCGCCGAGATATCAATATGAGAAAATTTGAAATAATATGATTTTGCATGGAAAGAAAATTGATTTTAACTATAGAACTTAATAACTTTACTAAACTAAAGAGGTGGGGCGTGAACACATTGTATTTTCAAACGGTATAACAGATATGTTCAGAATGGTTAAAGGGTATAAACAAACTATTTATTATATAGCTATACTAGTTGTAGAACATTGATAATAATCTAATGGTCGGCAATATCAGGAATATATCGGCAATCGGCAATAACATAGCATTTAATGCCGAAACTGGCAATAGATGTACATAATTTCGGAGCGTGTCCTCCCTCTGGGAAGTAAAATATTCCGAGTGTATTTTTATGAGATTTTCATGCAATTGGATATCAAAATATCTAAAAAAATGTGTATATAATTTCAATCACTATTTTTCTGGTTGTATATTGTTCTAAAATTGTTCTTATCCATCATTCGGTTGCCCCCTTACGAGCAACCCTCAGAAGTCTTCAAGAGACTTGTGCGAGCAAGGAATGACGGGGGTCTTACCTTTTAACGTGTGATCCCAAACACTTTCTTAGACCATCTGCGGTCGTGGTGGGAATCGAACCACTACCGGTAATCCAACGTGGATAGAACATTGACGCCTTAACCACGAGGCTACGCTATAATATTATATTATAAGAGTATTCATCTGTTTTTTATCAGTATACTTGAATTGATAGTCCATGTTGATAATTGCGGATAATTGAGAATTCTGAAGAGAAAGTGGAAACTTTATGATGATTTAAAATTCACTGAGAACTCTACCTTACTCTACTTTTTGAAAATGAGAATAATAATTTCCTCGAAATTTCAAATGAATCAGAAATTATTTCTACTGTGTGATAGATTCAGGTACTGCAATATTTTTTGTACTATCGTCCTTAATCACCTTGTAAACACCCTATTCAGCACAACACGAGAATGAAACAAAAATTTTATGTACAGTCGCATTCATAAATAAAGCGTACAAGAGAGAAATTAAGGTCATCCTATTCTGCATAAAACGGTTTATCGGAAATGATTGTTCACCAAATGTTGACAGTGAAGTTGTCATAGGTTCTCGAAAACAAAAAGCATTAGCTGAGCCAGTTTTACACAACTAGAACTAGGATCCCAAAATCCTCTCTTTTCAATACTTGTACGCTTTTTTATTGAATACGACTGTACTTGTAAGCTTCATCCACTGAAAAAAGAAATGTTTCAAGAACATTTTCAGAGAAGTACTTGCATTCTTATTACAGGTTGAATCCTTGCAAGACAACTTTTTCCATTATTCCAAAACCAAAAATCCGAATTCAGCACTAAACTTTCAATATTAGTCTCAAAGGATATTGGTATATTTCAGGTATTTTGTTGGTCGAAAAGCCATGTATGACAGCAACTACAAAGCAGCAGATGAGTACCTCACCTATGCCTTCCAGAATTGCCACAGAACGAGCAGAAAAAACAAGCGCCTCATCCTCATCTACCTGGTGCCCATTAAAATGCTACTAGGCTATGTACCGAGCAGATATGTTCTGGAGAAATACGACGTTATCCAGTTTTGGGACCTGGTGCAAGCAGTTTGTCAAGGAAATTTGAGGCTGTTTGATGAACTGCTGGAGCAGCATGAGACATTCTTCATCAAATGCGGGATCTATCTAATAGTCGATAAACTGAAAATAGTTGCTTACCGAAATTTGTTCAGGAAAGTTTATCTGATTTTGAATACACATCAAATACCCGTGGAGTCTTTACAGTCAGCTCTAGAATATCTTGGACAAGATGTAGATTTAGATGAGACCCAGTGTATTGTAGCGAATTTGATATATGATGGGAAAATCAAAGGATACATTAGTCATCAGCATAGAAAAGTTGTAGTTAGTAAGCAAAATCCATTTCCTCCTTTGACAAGTCTCACATGAGGTTATCTCGATTGGAATTAATGTTATTTGTTATGTCCGTTTTGTATAAATTTCAATATTAAATGATTTAATATCCTGGATTAGTGAGTTTTTAAACTCTTTGCTTCTAAGATTCCAAATCAATCTCAGACAGTATATATGCAATGTTTTTTTTTTCATTTAGCATCTTTCTCGCTAAGTAGAGAGAACAGACAAGTTATAACTTATCAATCAAAATAATAAAACAATTCATCACTTCCAACCCAAATAATTAGAGGTTTCATAACCGAAATGAAATGTATTTATCAAAATGATGAACTTGTCCAAGCATTTGCTGATGACTGAACCCAAAAGAGGCAAGAAATGGAAATTGTTGGTTGAAAACCACAATCTGTGGATTTTCTTCCAAGATATAGTGTATATACCAGTATCTACAAAATTATGTTGAGGATTGTGAAGAGTGATATAAGAAACAAGGCAAGATTGCTGTATCATAGAATATGGTTGAAAGGATGAACATGCAAATTACATCAGAAAGCAATTTAGGCGAACATAATAGGAGTTTTTTCTTGAAATGACAAATTTTAATATTGATTTCAAAAAAATCTCACTTATTGAGACTGAGAACGTTTTTATAATTCCCGTGTAACATTTCGAATATTCTTATAATGTTCTCACAAGGAGCGTTCTGAGAATATTCTGAGAACGATATGCAAATGGGACGAAAATTCACATCCCAATACGCTCTCATAATATTTTTCAGAACAGTCTATGAACATATAGAACATCTTCCAATTATCTAGAAATATTCTCAGTCCACGGGTATCTCAAAGCGCATGGAAAATATTTCAGGGATCCATATACAGGAAGAAAATAAGTTCATGACTGTATCTTTCAAAAGTGGCCGTTAGGGGGTATCTATTTCATATACTTTGAAGAAAAAACATCACCCATAAGCTGTTAAAGTTCAAACATAATACAAATATCATACAAGGATTCCTTTCGTGCGCTCCAAGAGATAAAAAAGAATCACGATGTGGGAAAGCATATTCAATTTCAGCGCCCCTCTAATGTGTGGGAAGAAACTAATTGGAGAAGAGAGCGGTAAAACCCCCATTGCTGCCGCAGATGAATCAGTCAGTGTCAATTTTGATTGCCAATTTCATTCAAATTACTTGGAACGTTGCATAGCAACAAACTTTTCCTATATTGGCAGAAAGTACACATTTCCTGTCTGTTAATTGTCATAGCCACTTTCTATGCCGCTTGGCGAAAAAAAATTATTTCATTATTGCGAAGTACCTCCTAACACGAACTTGTCCACTGTCGCTAACCGATTGCTCCTCAGAGCTCTGTATATTTTTTTGAAAAATTATTGAAATTCACGACGATTTTTGATAACATGAAAAATGCGATAGACAACGCCTCCTATACTGAATGTGGTAATATTTTCAATGGTTGTTGTTGAGCAATAAAACCCTAAACTAGTGCATATATTATATAATTTATAACTGCATTTTAGTATCGCGCGAGCCAGCGATTGATGCATGATCAAAATAATAAAATATATATGGCGTAAATTCGACTAGTGTGTTGCTTATACATTTTTGCATACCGATGGCATAATTCTGACAACCTGTATTCCACTTAGACTGGATTTTACAGAAGAGACGAAAAACGTTCCTGGAGTCAATATATCACAATGAATGTGTAAAAAGCAGAGATCACATGCATTACACTAAAATACACTACACTGTTCTACCACTAACCAAACCGATTTTTTAAACGCCTTGACAGGTGTTTGTTGTTGTTTGTTTAAAACAGTTTTAATCTTCTCCTGAAGATGCTAACATAGTTAGCGAAACACGTGTCGAGGCGTTTAAAAAATCGGTTTGGTTAGTGGTAAAACAGTGTAGTGTATTATCGTGCCAAAGGTTCCAGTCTTCGATATATCAGAAAAAATAGTTATCAACTTGTTTTGAAGTTACATAATGAACAGTTTTTAATGCAGTGTAGGTTATTACTTCTGCAATGTGGGTTACGATACATATATTATTCCATACTATAATTTGCTAGTATTTGGTGACGTCATCTCGGATCTTCCTATTATTCAATGGAATAGGGTATACGATATTCCAATTTCTGGAAAGTATGAGTGAGTTGGGATACAAAATACCTATTGGAAATAAGTAATATCACCAATTCACTTAAATAATGTGAATCGTTCATTTCCCCCCAGATTCAGCTTATCTCCTTTAATGGAAATATGTGATAATCCTCACGTAAAAAATAAATAACTCAATCCAAATAGATCCTATATGCGGAACTAACAAATTTAATTTATTATTCCAGATCTTTTGGGATTCTCTCTCCTCGTTTCTATAAAATAAAAATATGTATATTATTTCAATATACGTGTAGTAAGGACAAATCAGATGATTTGCCCCAGAAGGTCACTGCGTTTAAAGAATTTGTCTATAAGAGAGCATAAAAGAAAAATTCACTAGCATGTCATTGACAATTTGTAATGAAGAAGGTTTGGAGAAGAGAAATAAGGGTATATATATACAGAGTGGACCGTTGAAAACGAAACAGAGGCTCTGTAGGTCGCCAAAACCGGATTATAAAAAAAATCTGAAACACGTCAACTATATTTTCGAGGGGGACATCGTTCTAAAATATTTTCAGCCCTGCGGCGTTGCCGCTTCTAGAGAAAAGAAGCAACAACTTTGTTATTTCAAATGGAACACCATGTATTTTATTGCTAGATTCTTCTCGAAGAGCTGATTTCATCAATGCATCACACTTGGGGTCTAGCTGTGATGGTTTCAGGGATATAAAGTGTTCAAAATCGAGATTTTTCAACTTTAGCATTTTTTTGTGTCGGAACTATTCATTATTGGTCAAAATGGCTTTCATGTCCCTATCTCAACTTGTGATTCACTATCTACTAACATTTAATTGGAACAGATACAGGGTGATCAGAATTCTGAATCTTGAACCACCCTGTATTTGTTTCAAATAAATGTCAGTAGATAGTAATTCATAAGTTGAGATAGGGACATGAATGCCGTTTCGACCAATAATGAATAGTTTCGACACAAAAAAAATGGTAAAGTTGAAAAATCTCGATTTTGAACACTTTATATCCCTGAAACCATTACAGCTAGACCCCAAGTGTGATGCATTGATGAAATCAGCTCTTCGGGGAGAATCTAAAAACGCAATAAAATACATGGTGTTCCATTTGAAATAACAAAGTTGTTGCTTCTTTTCTCTAGAAGCGGCAACGCCGCAGGGCTGAAAATATTTTAGAACGATGTCCCCCTCGAAAATATAGTTGACGTGTTTCAGATTTTTTTTATAATCCGGTTTTGGCGACCTACAGAGCCTCTGTTTCGTTTTCAACGGCCCACTCTGTATATATAGAAAAAATATCAAATTTCCACTAAGTGTCATTGATAAAGTGATTTTTTTTTTAGGCTCTCTGATTGGAAAATTCTTTAAATGCATGAAATAATGATAATATTTTTATTTTATAGAAACGAGGAGGGAAAATCCTCCTTGATTAACCTACAGACAAAATTCAATTTAATTATTTCAATAGATTTTCATGAAATGAATGACCTCCATTGTCAATAATGCATACAAAGGGTTACAAAAGATGCAATGATTGCAATAATGAAATGTAGACTGATTCTCATCTGATGGTTTATTGCTTTTTCGTCAATTTATGAGGATAGTCAGCTAAAGGCGTTGCACCATCCACTAGCACTTGTGGATTCGGGTGACTTACATTTATCTTTCATTAATTTCGACTAATGATGATACGAACTTATATTTAGGATAGTAAAATGAAACATTTCCGTTGCTGCAAGGAATATGAGCTTTTAGAATTCGAAGCGAACGATGTGAATTGTTAGAAAACCGTCGGAACCTTTATTTCGTGAAAACGGTAGGATACGCCTGATATATGAAAATATCTTTCAATTAGAGTTGAAACGTTTTCAATTTTATATACATTCAATGATTAGAATAGAAAATAGGATAAATAAAATTGTATAAGAAAGATATTGAGTAAAATATTTGCTCTCATTGAGTCCAGTGTAGGGGTCTAGCATAATAATTACTATTCTGCTGAGTATGCTACTGATTCAGTGATTCTTGAAATTTATACAAAAACAAAAAAAGGAGACAACGACACGCGGTGTTCCCAAGCGGTCACCCATCCAAGTACTGACCGCGCCCGACGTTGCTTGACTTCCAGGATCAGACGGAGCTGGGTACTTAAATCAACGTGGTATGGTCGTTGCCTGAATAAGTGACATTATCAAAAATACTCGAAGGACCATGTAACACCTACGTAAAGTGCGTTGCTAGACCTAAAGGGCTTTCACGCTGGGTTGATAGTTGCGCAATACTTGGTAACAATAATGTCGTTCCAAAACAGCACATTGAAAAATACTAGTAACTTTCCAAATGGGCGAACCGCGTTATCGAAAATAGGATGAATAAAATTGTATAAGAAATATATCGAGTAAAATATTTGTATTCTCTGATAAAACGTAAGCTCTCATTGAGTCCAGTAGGAGTCTAGCATAATAATTACTATTCTGCAGAGTATGCTACTGATTCAGTGATTCTTGGAATGAATACAAAAACAAAAAAGAAGACAACGACACGCGGTGTTCCCAAGCGGTCACCCATCCAAGTACTGACCGCGCCCGACGTTGCTTGACTTCCAGGATCAGACGGAGCTGGGTACTTAAATCAACGTGGTATGGTCGTTGCCTGAATAAGTGACATTATCAAAAATACTCGAAGGACCATGTAACACCAACGTAAAGTGGGTTGCTAGACCTAAAGGGCTTTCACGCTGGGTTGATAGTTGCGCAATACTTGGTAAAACAATGTCGTACCAAGAGTGCACTTCGAAAAATACTAGTTACTTTCGGAATGGGCGAACCGAGTTATCGAGAATAGGATAAATAAAATTGTATAAGAAAGGTATTGAGTAAAAACTTTGTATTCACTGATAAAACGTAAGCTCTCATTGATTCCAGTAGGGGTCTAGCATGATAATTACTATTCTGTTGAGT